TTCTTGAGAAGAAGCCGCCATCTTCAGAAACAGTATTCATTTATCTGAATCATAGCCATGCACTATTATACGATGTATAGCTATCAATAATACTTAGTGCTTCAGACCCTTCCTCACACTTTATCCATTTTTACAAATTATTATTTTATGATACTGAACAACCCTCTAGGCTACTCTTCTTAATTCCTTCTATTTCCTCTCTAAATGTCTTCAAGTGTCCCTTTATTTCTAGCAGTTATTTATAGACATCTATCAGTCCTGGTTTGGGGCTCCTCGGCTGGAATGCAGTGTATTCAGGCTATTGTGCCTCATGGAAAACAAGTTACTTTTTTTACATGCAATTCTCGAGTAATTCTCCTAACTACTGAAGTAAAGATTTTACCCTACTGGGCTTGCAGCATACTGTTACAAGTCACATAATGTCAAATGTGTTTAAAATAATTTCTGTTAAATGCCTCCAGCAAGTGAAATGAGATGGCTGCCAAGTTCATTTAACCAGCCTTCACTTTCCAACCTTTAAAGAGTGAGATGTCCAAACATTTCTGCATGCCTTTGTAATCCATAAGATTACAGTCACCCTCATTAGTGTACTGAGGTAAGTCTGCAGCAGGATACAGATCCTACAGCTGGCAGCTGGATAGACCAGAGATCTATAGGAAATAAACTGGGTCATAACTTAGAAAACAAAACTATGAGAAATCAGGAGTGCAGTAAACACAAACCCCATCACAGTCAGTACAAAAATTGCCACAGGTCTCACTGAATCAGGCTCAGCTATTATTTTCCTGGTATATATATGCTGGCTTCAGCCTCATACAGAAATTAGAGACTTTATAAATAAAAAAATACAAACTATTTCTCTACTGCCTTTTTTTTTTTTTAAATAAATAGTCTCCAAGTTTGCAGTTTGTCCAGGAAAAGACCTCCTAATAGAAATCTGAAAATGTCTATGGTTACTTTAAGCATACATTTGAGTGTGCTTTTGTTAGAATTTGACTCTAGGCTATTTCCAGGAATACGACAATTTTCCATGAAAACAGCTAATTTACTGTAACTAATTATATCATCAAATCTCTCCAGGAAAGATATATCAGGAAAGAAATACATTACTGTATCACCTACCATTCACATATTTTTATCATTAATTATAAGCTGTGGCAAGCCCTAGCTTGAAATTCAGATGAATATTTGTTCATGTAATGCATATACAAGTTTAAATTCTCAGTAGTTATGCTCAAGTATTTGCCTCTCTAGTAAAGTGATGGCACACAAATTGTAGATGTCCAAATAACCAGTGGTGACTGTGAGTTCAAAAATCACATGCACAAAAAAAGGTGAATGGCCTTAGTAACACAGAAAAAGTATTAAAACACCACGAAAAAAACATCCTCACTGGGACAATGCACAAAATATTCTTTAATTACCCCTAGACAGATTAAATAAATACAAAAATTACACACTATCTCCGTGTTTTCTTTTGTTTTCTTCGACTTGTAACTATCTCCAACGGCAGAGAAAGGAGGGTCCTTAAAAAGGACTTTGCACAACATTTCACTGTAACCTTGTAAGTTTTGTGTCTTTTCCTACTTAAGGAACTAAACCTTCAAGTCATTAAGGAAAGAAGTAATTTTGGAAAACAATAAAAAGTTGGAACATGTGTCTTACAGCAACACTAAAGAAGCCCAATATAAACCTTCACTTGAATATTAAGATTTATACATTTATATTTGTGATGCTAACTGTCTCCAAGATTTATTTATTAGTAAATCTCTGATATTTCCAATGAACAATAGACAACATGTAAGTGCAATTTTAGAGTAAACAAATAAGTGGAAAGCCACTAGAAAATTCCATTGGGTTTGAGACTGCTAAAATCATGGCCTCACAGGAAAACACACAGGAACCTAGCAATGAATAACTTAAAGCAAGATAATAATATCATCTGAATCCCTTAACAAGGCCTCAGAATCCTTCAGGCAAGTTTCACAGTCCAGTGTATTTATAGCTTTTTCTACGTAATTATACATCTCTCATCATTGAATTATTGGAATCCATGGACATTTACACTTTTACCCAGTGATCACGAAGACTGATTCAATATACCTATGCGAGCATTATTTATTTTTCAGCAGAAGACTGTTTCAGTGAATGGGTTTGATTCAGAGCTTGCATAAGGATGAAGGTGGCTGCGATAGGAAATATGGTTATGCACACAGTGCAAAACCTTTCTTTTGAAACTTCAAAAAAGAAATACAACAATACAATTTTAATACAATAAGAAAGAATCAGGAATCGTACATGCAAACACACGCACATAAAGATTTCTATCAAGCTGTGCAGTGCAACTATTGATTGGGAGCAGCAAGACAGCAGAACTTGATGAATAATTTTAAGATATATGCCATAAAATTTGAAGAACTATGGAAAACAGGTGTAAACAACATGAAATCTTGGTTGACGGGATGCCATCTGCATAGAGAACTATGACAGATTCTAGCTGACACTGGTTCTACAGGTTCACTTTTGCACAAAATAATTTTGCAAGTATTGGTGTTCTTGACACCAGGAAAATGATGTTATGAAGTTTAGTGGGATGAATACCTGGGGAAAAGAGGGAGAGGATAAGAAAAAGATGAAGTTCAGAAAAATGATTCAAACTTTGACTAACAGGTAAGACAATCGACATGCCAAAGGCTACATGGATAAATACCAAAGTGCAGCAAGAGAAAATGGATGAAAACAATTACAGAAGAATTCACTGGAAGTTGGACTGAGAAACATGTCTACTGAATCAGAAGCATGAACTTCAATGCAAGGAGTGAAAAAAAGGAAAAGCAAGAATAGTTTATAGATGAGTAAAATAGGGAACTGCCAGTTAAAAGAAAAAAAAATCCTTGGCAGAGAAAAGAAACTTGGTACAGAGTTTGAGTAAAGAAAGAACATATAGAAGATAACAGTTAAGTATTGTCCCATAGCCTGGAATTCACAGTCAAAGCTAAACATTAAATGTTTTGAAAGGGCATGTGGTACATAAGAGGTGTAAGCTTCTGCTTTGATGGAGAGAGATGAGACGACTGAAACACACACAGCTCATATCCAGAGCTCATATACTACCAGCAGGATTAAAGCTTAAACACTGTAGAGTCTGAGCTGTTTGGCACCACTTTCTTTTACTGAAACACTGGATTTAGGGGCTGTGAATCTACTAAAACTACACCATCCTCCTCAGTGGTCTAGGAATGTGTATCTAAATGGGCATGACAAGAAGATGCTGTAGTTTAAATGAAAACGTAATAAAGTTGGCCCCTTAAGCCAATTAGATAGTCACACTGCTACATACTATTGACTGTGCAGAGGAATCTCTGAGATTTGTTAGCAATATATTCTCAGTTAATTATGAAACTCTTGTTACAACACAGGGTGAATGGGAAGTGGGACAGTCTAAGGAAGTTTCTTTTGAACTCTGAAAAAGTGATTAATATCTGAAATAAATTAAAAATGTACTAAGAGACCTACAACAGAAAAGAGTTAGTGTTCCACTCGTCAGCCATACTCACAGACATGAAACACATTTCATGTTTGAATGAAAAGATCGTCAATTGGTTCTTTACGTGTTTGTCACAAGTAAGGTAAATGAACATTTACCTGAACACTCCTTTTAATATGATGAAGGAGCAGCTTATAATGCATTTCATACCTGCAGCTTTTCAAACAATGGCAACTATATGTGAAAATGCAAAAATCACTAAAAAGGTTACATGATTTCTAGAAACTACGTAAATAATAACATAAGGACAAAGAATAACCTCTAGTCCTATCAATATGTAATACAAGGAAATGAAAGGTAATGTCTATCCTTGCTCAGAGTAAACATGTCACCACATTAAGCTTCAATGAATATTAAATATTCATAAAAATATAATATACTTGATTCCAGCTTTCACTTCAAAATATTTCAGTATGCTTGTAGAGCCAAAATCTTATGTCTATACTCACAGGTCCAACTGCATAAGGAGGATAAGGCCTCATGTTCAATGATGCATAGAAAGACATGCAAATACATAACCCACAACTCTGATCTCAATTAAATCACTATCACTGCACTGATTTTAATGGGGGCTTCTACTGTTTTAGATTTCTTTCACCAAGATCCAGGTTAACTCCATAACATAATCTGATCATACAATTACTGCTTATAAATGCAGTGGAGATCTCTCTCAAGTGGAATGCAACAGCTGTTTAATACCTCACAAGAAAATTGCACAACAGCTGAGGACAACAGTTAAAGTAAACTAATTCAGCCTTCATCTGCATGAAGGGTTTAGCTCGGATGGTTGTTTGTAGCCAAATTGAAATTTGGAACAATATCTTATTCTTACAGAATTTCATCACCAGCTAAAATCAATGGTGAATTTAATCCCAACATTTTCATTACTAACTTTAATTCTCAAAGTGTGTTTCTATTTTGTTGCAACCATTGTATCTTTATTTGTACAAGTAACGTCGTTCAGTATTTCAGTCTGCCCTACAATATTAGCATTTTCATAACATGCTTTCCATTTGTTCCTATTATTTACCTAGCCTTATAGTATATAAGCAAATAAAAATGACCCTTCCAGCAGCTAACCTTGCAAAGAAAAAGGTGGAATTCCCACTCTGAACAGAAATTGTGCATGTTATTTGGTCTGAATCTTAATCACACCCTAGGAGTTTTCTTCGTGGATTCCAGATATGAATAAAAAAGCATAAACCTAAATCAAAGCTTTCATTCCAAAATATGTTGGGTTTTTTTTTTTTCCTTTTTTACTGTAGAGACTTGACTGTTTTTCAAAAATCATTACCTGCTGTCCTAAAGGGCTGCTCCCACCTCCTTATGCGGGGAAAAGATTCAGTGAGTCACAAAATCAGCAACAAAAGTTGTACCATATGATAATAATGCGCTTACCAACACATAATTTGTTTAGGCATTATTTATAGAGATATGAGTGGCATGGACTTACCTGTAGGAGATCCCTCCATGACATGACCAACGTAGGGTCCTTCTTTGAACATTGGCCTGTTATCATTTTGATCAATAACAGAAATATCTAGGCGGACTGGACCATCAATGGTTTTCCCAGTTACATCTACGACCTCAACTTCAAGCTGTATGAACAAAAAGAGAGGAGTAAATTCATTAGTTCACTATCACAGTGTGCAAAGAGTAGGAAAAAATAGCTCAGATCAGTGCTGCTGTAACCAGACCCTGCCAAGGATACCACTTGCAGCCCATTCTTTTGGACTAGGCCCAGAGCAGATTTTCAATCTAAGCAAAAGAGAAAGACAGATGTACATTCAAATCAAGATACCTCCTGGCAGCTTGAAAATGCCATATTCCCTGAAGAATGAAATGACGAGTATAAGACAAAAATACTCCCTGTAAATTTGTTACTAACCATGTGAAGATTTGGTTAGAATCTGTTTGTTTATTTTTTTCAAGCACATTTAGAGTGGACACATATAGAACTATCACAGTATAATTGACATATCTCCCAATGCTCAGTTAAAAACCTTTTTTTTTTTAAAAAAAAAAAGAAAAAGCAAGAATGTATTAGACATTGAATATATTTTCTCAATGATGATGGCATGAAGTATTATGGTAGGTAATTTTGACAGTTCTTCAGCTTCTCTAATACGGTATGGAAGGACAGAACAACATATGCAGTCTTAATAAGCAGGTATATATGTACACACACACTCACATCCCAATGTATGAAAGCACCTGTTGAACACGAAGCCAACATATGCAGAAGATTTGTTTGGACTTCCTTTACTTCCAAAAACTGGAAAGAAAGAATTACTGTATATCTCAACCCTCCAATCCACTTGCAATGGAAAGTCACAGTGAGTTACCAAAACTTAAGCGGTCATTAGGGCAAACCATGACAAAACTTCTTAGATAACAGAAAAGGTCAATTTAGATTGCAACTGCATGTATGACTGCAGTTCTCTCTCCTCACCAAGACGTCAGTAAAACACAGCAATAAACATACCAGAGACACAGCTATCACTTTCACCTACCCTACCCATCCCTCGACTCAACTCTTTAATGGAGTTAAGCCAGCCAGAAAATGAACCTGAGCACAGACGTTAATATCACTCTCTTCCAGTCTTTCCCTGAGAAAGTGGTAGCAGCAGGGGCTGGAAGTCTCTGAGCATTTTGTTTATTCGGTTAATTTGTTCTTCATTGCCATGTCTTATACCTGTAAGTTATTTATAAGCTAGTGATATATCCTACTGGGAAAGAATTAGGTCAGAATTCTAATTCCTTATTAAAATGGATGGCTTATTATCACATGTCTCTGTATTTTGTTATGCTTATAAATACACTCCACTTTTATTGTTCAGTGTGCTGGGTGTAAGTAGGAGTGTTTGTTATGAGTAAACTATCTACTCGCATACACTAGTTGTAAATAGTGCCACAGTCCTTTTTAACATCTACCCACTGCTTATCCTTACTTCTCGAGCAGTTGTTCTTGCAAGTCTTTCCCAAGTCTTGTTTTTTACTAGACATATAGCTTAACAGCTTAAAAGCAAACAAATACTCTGACGTGAAGACAATTGATTCATGTGACATTGGAACAGCTGAAGCTTTATGGGGGCACACGCCCCTTCAATTTCCAGGGCTTGTTTAACTCTGTAATCTAAAGTCAATGTAATAATTTTAGGATTGCATGTGATGTGATGGGGACTAGGAAGGAAAATGCAGCCTTATTACTGAACTACATTAAAGCTAGATACAGTTGGAAACTGCTGACAAAAAGATTTATCTTAGTAAATGTTGACTCACCAAAACTATGTTAATTGCTTTGGGAAATGGAAGAATAGCAATATTTCTCTGTGAAATTCCCGCAAATTCATTTTCAAATTCAAGATAATTTGCTCTTAATCTATCTCTCAATATTAAGTGACTATACTGCTCACTGGAAAGAACAAAGGCTTTGCTAAATTTAAAAAACTACTTCAGCTGCTTTATCAAAATTGTAAGTCATCTAAAGCAAAAGCTGATCTAACACTAGGGGTTTTTTTTTTCCCAGACTTGCACAGATTAAGGAAGAGAATAGAAGATTGTTATTAATGACCGAAATAGATTTACTTTATCATTGCCAAGTCCACCGCGTCTGAGACCAACTGCCCCAAAAAGCTGGCATGACAGGTCCGTAGGAACAATTACGTGACCTCTGCTTCATTTTATTAAGATGATGGACTTTATTTTATTAGTCTTTGTACAATAATTTCCAGGCTTGTCCTAAGCATCATGGGTTAACTCACCAGCTCCTTTTAAACCCACTCTTCCTACAATGTTTTCAAAATAAAAGCCTTCAGGGCCAAAATTATGACCTATCTTTACGTGACTAGTTTGTGAAAGAAGCTGCCTTATATCTTATCTTGCCCAACCAAAAAAACCCCACAAAAAATCCATAAAGCCCCACCACCCACAAAACAAAAAACCAACAAAGCAAAGAAGCAACAAAACAGCAACAAAAGTATACTGTTATTTAAAAAAAAAGCCAACATATGCAAGAGAAAGAAGCACACAAGTAAAAGACAATTTTGGCACAAAACCCAAATTACTTTGAACAGGCTATAAATAAAACCAGGTGGAAAATTAGATTGTGCCTAACTATCAGAAGAGTGAGATTTCAGTCTTTCAATAAAAAAAGAAAGGCAGGAAAGCCTATCTAATTTGAATGTAAAACTTGACTGATGTATGAAAGATACCGCATTCGTTCTTTTGATAGCAAGAGACTGTAATTGAACATTCAGAAAGTATCTAAGTTCCTACCTGATTATAACAACATAACTCTAAGGAAAAGTGGTAAGCATAAAGACAGATTTGGGCAAATTGACAAAAAAAAAAATAAATCTGCAGAGCTCTGTAGCTATTTATTATGTGAAAACCTGATAAGATTGACTCTGCTTTCAGTGTTCCAACTTAAAAGTTATGGAAATATGTTCATAATGATGAAGTTATGTTCATCATAATCTAACCGAGCATATTTTCAGGAACACTTGAGGCTAAATCCCAATTTCATTTTTGACAAAAGTATAGATGCAAACTACAAAGGATAATCAAGGGTTTATGAGAACTGTTACACCTCACAACACAAGTCTCCATGACAGGATACAAAGCGGACTTTGGCTACTGCTTTTAATATAGCTGAGAAACACTGATATAATTAAGCACCCCAATAAAATAGGGAAAAGAAATATAAAACTGAAAACTGCAGCCAGTAATAGATTTTAGCCTGTTTGTCTAGGCAAACTCTTATTCGATACTTTGCTTCCTCAAAAGGGAATTCTTGACTTCCCATCCAATTTCCCTCGCTGTATCTGAAGTGAAGATCTTTCTCATCACCCCAAATATAATGATTTTACCAGAAGTTTACTAAGCTTATTCAAAGCTGCGCAAACCTCTTTTAAGCACTCTGCTTTATTTTGTGTAGTCTTGATTCCCTTCCACTCTGCAGTCAGTAACAACATTTACAGGAAAAGATAACCAGTCTCATTCTTACCATTACTTAAAGTAATTTCAAAGGTTTCTCTTCACGGAACGGTTGTTTCCATTCATTTATTGCTTTTGGTGAAACGATTCTGCATAGCCACCTTCCTTCTCTGCATATAGATGTCTATTTTTACTTTGCAGCCAGCCAGCCAATGGTCCACACAAAATTACATCATAAATTTAAAGTTTTTCATAAGTAAACCTGGAATACCTTTTAGTACTTAATTATCTTCAAAGTCTAATACAGGTTCTTTAGTCATCAACTGCCTTCTAATTTTAATTTCCAATTTGTTGCTGATAAGAACGTTTCTCACAGAATTCTTCCAGTTGTTCCAACAGATGTTTTTTCTACATGTTCCTCATACCCAGCTTCACCCAGAAAAAAAAAATAAAAAAAAAAAAATCAGTCATTTCTGCATGTGAAACCGGCAGGTTTCCAGAAGCACAAGGTCCCTGTGGTCAGGAGCACACAGGGGCAGTGGGTGCCCGCACCCGCTGCCGGCAGCGGGGGCCGCAGGGGCCTCTGTGAGGCGAGGCTGGGCTGCCCCATGCCAGACACAGCTGGTTCCAGCTGATTCCGTGGCGGCCCCACCACAGGGCACGGCTGAGCCCCTCAGGGAGGCGGCTGGCATCTCTGGGAAAGCGTGTGTAAGAAATGCTACACGGGTGTTTTGTCTTCATCTCAACCCATGAGCTTTTCATCCCGTTGCTTGCCTCCCCCCAGGGTCAACCCACCACAGCAGGGAAAGCAGAGGAGTAAAATGTGACCCAGCAGAGGAAAGGTGCGTCATCCTGGACCGGGGCTACACTCAGAAACCTGGAAGGAGCACTGCACCATTACACAAGACTGCTATACCACTACCTGCCCCATTCTCAGTTATTTTGAGGTATCTATAGGTACAGAGCACTGCTGGCTTTATTTATTCCTAGCTTGATTACAATTATTATTGAGAATACTTGTTAGGCTTATTTATCATCAATTCCTAAGTGTGGATTGACAGTAAAGAAAGGTGACAGACTTAGGGACCTTTCATGTAGGCAATTTCCTGGTAAGAAAAACACACTTGGCCATCTCTGGGTCATACCAAGTAGTAAAGAAATTTTCCTTATAGTAAACTTTTACTAAAACTTTGATGCAATTACCTAAAACAAGTCAGAGAAGACAATGATTCAGACATACAGCAATTAATTACAATTAAATTTTCCTGCTACTAAGAATATGAATAAAATATTAGCAAATTTTTATATGGCACAAGAAGAGGTGGAGAGAGAGGATATAAAACCAAAATACACTGCTTCTAACAGGTATGGATAATTTTATCTCAAACTGCTTGATGACAGGGTATCGATTACCTCAACAAGGTTGTACAGATGATGGCAAAAAATGGCACCATTACCTGCAATGGGAGAATTTAGCTTCACATTCAGAGTTAGACCCTAGGTGGGAAGGGATTAATCAGCCATTCTAGAGTACTCCTATAAGCATCTTACAGAGGCTTTATCTTGCTAATGCATCCACTTAAAAAATTAGATTCTGATTCCTTAAAAAAACATACAATTTATTACTCTAATTTTATTGGTTTCTTTTCTAGCAATAGTC